TTATTAGTGTTGTTGGGGCACAGACCTACACTGTCATGAGGAATCTCATCAGTCCTGAAAAGCCTAAAGAGAAAACATATGAACAGCTAGTCACCTTGCTAAAGGAACATTTTAACCCCAAACCTAGTGAGATTGTACAGAGGTACAAGTTTGATTCCCGTGATAGGAACCAAGGCGAGTCAGTGGCTATGTAGCGGAGGAAACAACAAGGAAGAACAGAAAGGGAGCAAAGTTCTCGCCACTACTTTCACAATTCCCACAATGTCATAGAGGGCAGCAGCGATAGCTGGAAAAAACATTCAATTTATGATTGACACGGGGTGTAGTCTCACCTTAATGAATGAAGCAAGTTTCAGGAAGACTTGGGAAAACATGGAAATTCCAAAACTGAGCCCTAGCAAGGTCAAGTTGGAAACATATACAGGCCAAGAGATTCAGGTTATGGGTCAAGCATGGGTCTCAGTAAGCAGCCAACATCAAAAGAAGACTTTACCTCTCATTATAGTAGCAGGAGATGGTCCAAACTTGCTAGGCCGGAGTTGGATGGAGGAGATTCGTCGACCTTGGGAGAGAGTAAAACAAGTGAGAGAGATACAAGAGAAGTCAGACAGACCAAGTCTACAGCAAGTTTTAAAGTGGCATGAAGTGGTGTTTAAGGAAGAGCTGGGAACTTTGGTAGGTACCAAAGCTACCATACATGTGTCACCCAGTGCTAAACCTAAGTTCTACAGACCAAGACCTGTTCCTTATGCCATGCGAGCTAAGGTTAATGGAGAGATTGATAGGCTGTTGAAGGAAGAAGTCATCAAGCCAGTGCAATACTCAGAATGGGCTGCTCCAGTTGTCCCAGTCTTGAAGCCAGATGGTTCCATAAGGCTATGTGGAGATTACAAGTTGACTGTGAACCAAGTCGCTACACCAGAACAATACCCCATACCTTGTGTGAAAGACCTTTTTGCAACTCTGTCAGGTGGAAAGCAATTTACAAAATTAGATATGAGCCATGCATATCTACAGTTACTTTTAGATGGGTGGCATCAGCACCAGTGATATTCCAGAGGGTCATGGAAGGGCTTCTACAAGGAATTCCACAGGTAGCCATTTACCTGGATGACATTTTGGTGACTGTAGCTGATGAGAGCATTTGAAGAACTTAGGGTAACACTTTACTGTAGGGTGCTGTTCATAAGGCAACATGACACCTACATAAGCTTGTCATGACATCTGACATAACCCTACATAACTGTTTATAAATGCTTGTTCCAATAAGCGTCATTCGCTATAAAGGTTACATTTGCCAATTTTGATCAAAGTCAGCTAAAGTAGCCTTAACAGATGACAGATGACGCCTGTTGTAATAAGCCTTTATAAACAGTTATGTAGGGTTATGTCAGTTGTAAGGACAACCTTATGTAGGTGTCATGTAGCCTTATGAACAGCACCCTACAGTAAAGTGTTACCGAACTTAGAGGAAGTGCTAACCAGAATGGAAAAGGCGGGACTGCGCTTGAGGAAAGACAAGTGTTCATTCTTGCAGAGAGAAGTGCAGTACCTAGGCCATCGAGTGGATGCACAAGGGTTGCATCCCTTGGAGAGCAAAGTACAAGCCATAGTGGATGCGCCAGTTCCAAAGAGTGTCTCAGAATTGAAAGCTTTCCTGGGCCTCTTAAATTACTATGGGAAATTTCTGCCTAACCTGTCCATACTGCTGGCTCCCCTGCATTCCCTGTTGAAGAAGGATGTACAGTGGGGGTGGGGTAAAGCTCAAGCGAAAGCTTTTTGTGAGTCCAAGCAGTTACTGGAATCAGCCACAAGACTGGTACATTACTCACCAAGCCAAGAACTCATATTGGCGTGTGATGCGTCAGTGTATGGAGTGGGAGCTGTGTTAGCTCACTGCATGCCAGATGGAAGTGAAAGTCCACTGGGATTTGTATCCCGTACTTTGTCTCCAGCTGAAAAGAAATATTCACAACTGGACAAGGAAGCATTAGCCATCATCTTTGGAATAAAGAAGTTCCACAAGTATCTGTATGGCCGTACATTCACTATTTGCACTGATCACAAACCGCTAGTTGCCTTATTTGGGGAGAAGAAGGCCATACCACAGATGGGCTCCCCTAGAGTTCAAAGGTGGGCGGTATTGCTGAGTGCCTATGAATATCAGATTGTATATAGACCAGGGAAGTTTCATTCTAATGCAGATGCTTTGAGCAGACTACCCCTTCCAGAGAGTCCTGGAGAAGAGAAGGAAACAGAGCAAGTTCTGATGATGGATTGCGTAGATTCAGTTCCTGTGGATTCCAGGCAGATTAAGAGCTGGACAGCCAAGGATTCAGTGTTGTCTCAGGTACATGGATATGTGCTGAGAGGGTGGCCAACTGTAGTAGAACCACAGTTGAAGCCTTACTTCCAAAGACGATGGGAGTTAGGTGCTTGTGATGGTTGTGTACTTTTGGGAGCAAGAGTAGTGATACCACAGCAAGGGAGAGAAATGATGTTAAAATCTCTTCATCAGACACATTCAGGCATGTCTCGCATGAAAGCGTTGGCTAGGTCGTACATGTGGTGGCCTGGAATGGACAAAGACATAGAAAAGACAGTCCAGTCATGTGACCAGTGCCAGTGTCACCAGAAAGCACCACCAACTGCACCACTGTACCCATGGGAGTGGCCTGAAGCTCCATAGTCTAGGATCCATGTAGATTATGCTGGGCCATTCATGGGAAGAATGTTTCTAGTCATCATGGATGCTCATTCAAAATGGTTAGACACCTACCCACTGTGATGATAGCACATATAGCACACATCATCAGAGCTGGAATAAAACCATGTGTCTGCATTTTAAAAAAGGTTTTTTCTTTCTCTTGTGAAGTTATTATTCTGGACATAATGTAAAGTAATAGACAGTTAAATGTAATGTAATGTAGACTTAAATGTAATGTAGTATAATGCAGATTTAATATAATTTAACAGAGTTATACGTAATGTAATGTAGGGTTAAATATAATGTAGTGTGATGTAGCATTAAAAATAACAAATGGATTGATAGATAGATTTTTGTTCAGCTACCGGATAACTCCACATGCAGCGACAGGGGTGTCACCAGCAGAATTGATGATGTCCCGAAGGTTGAGGTCCACCTTTGATTTGCTTATACCGGACATCCAGGCCAAGGTGAGAAGCAAACAACTGAAACAGAAAGAAAACCGAGATGGACAAAACAAACTGAGACGTTTCACGAGAGGAGAGGAAGTTCTAGCTCGGATTTATGGATATGGTCCAAAGTGGATTCCAGCTGTTGTGAAGGATTGCACAGGTCCGTTGTCTTATTCAGTGGTCCTGGGAAACGGGCATACCTGGAAAAGACATGTCGATCAGCTGAGAGGTCGCAGTTCTGGTGGAGTTCGAGAGCTGATGGAAAGTCCTGTGAGAGTACCTGCAGCAGTACAGGAGACTGTGGAATTGTCTATGCCAACCTCAATTGAGAACTGTGAGGATTGTACCGAACAACATGTTGAACCAGAGATTGTTCTTGCAAAGCCCGATCCTCCGAGCACACCTGCTGTGAGTATCACAGAGTGTCTGTCTGTTTATGTTCCGGCACGTAATCTAAGATCTGCAGATAGTGGCCTTCTACAGATACCCTCTGTAAAATACAGAAAACCTAGAGAGGCCTCTTTCAGTTATTATGCTTCTAAACTGCGGAACTCAATTCCACCTTTTATTAGACAGTCAAGCTCAGTGCTCACTTTTAAGAAGCACCTAAAAATGTATCTCTTTAAATTAGCATTTAACTAAAACTGAATGTCTCGTGGTGTTTATCTTGTAATTTAATCTTCTTCATTTTCATCTGATTCTAATTAAGTACTAATGATCTCTTCTATAACTATGTTTTATCACCTGTCTGTAAAGCACTTTGAGCTGCCACCGGCATGAAAAGTGCTATATAAATACAATTATTATTATTATTATTATTATTATTATTATTATTATTATGCGTCGTTCAGAGAGAGAACGGCATGCCCCATTAAAGTTAAAAGACTTTGTTATGTAACTTTGCCTTACAAGGGCAATTAAGTCCTAGATAAGTAGAACATAATAATACGTAATAGTGAATGTACCTTTAGTTAGAGTTGTATAAAGTGTTATGTTCTTGTTAAGGGGGAGGGATGTAGTACCTTCAGTGCCCACTAGGGGTTCCCAGTAGTCTTAGTTGTGCGGGGTTGTACTAGTTAGAGTGGAGAGTGAGAGTCAGTACTGCCATGTTGAGCTGCAGGCATCTGTAAGAGAACAGAGAAAGAATTAAAAGGAAATAAACTGGCATGTGGGCTGAAGAGTTTTTGTGTGTCACGATATCACAACATATATACAAAATATATACTCTTACTATTTTTTGATTATTTTATGTTACAAAAAATGCGTTCCAAAAGTTCCAGTACTCACCAGTGTTAAATTAAAAAGACAGTGTAGTGAGGGTCTTCAGAGACGCTGCACATTTTTGCTGCCCATGTTAGTAACTTGCTTAACCAGTCAACATTTTAGATTTTGGAAAAGACTGGCTTATTGGCTCACTGGCGCTTATAACACTGTTTTATGTCTGTCAGTACTTAGGCACTAAAATGTGGTATTGAATGAGACAGAATTTTCAATACTTGGTAGTACTGAAGTAAATCAGTTGGTTCCATGATACCCAGCCTTATCATTAGGCAAACTACTAAATAATTATTGCCAATCCATCAAGAATGTTTTTTAAATGAATATTTAAGTTTAACCAATCAGTAATCTGTAATATCAATCTGTAATAAATTTGAATTGTCATACATGTGTTTTCATAATGGACACATGAAGTGGCCACACGCTGGCTGTCTTCATGAGCTCTATTAAACTGCGCCCCCCCCCCACACACACACACACCCACACACCCACACACACCCCATTCACACCAGGCTCTCCTGTTACAGAGATGTAGCTGTTGGAGTGTCCTGCTAAATTTGACAGAGAGCAAGCGGACAGCACTGAGAATGGACACCCAGTCAGACACAGACTACTGCTTTGGTAAGCTCCCTGTCAGTGAAATCTCTGTGAAATGAACTGAAGTAGACAAGTGACTTGAAATACAGTAATATGCCTAAGAATCTAAGAATTGGTGTCCCAGTTTGTTACACTGAAGAAGGCGAGTTAATCCTGTGATGATAGCACATATAGCACACATCATCAGAGTTGAAATAAAACCATGTGTCTGCATTTTTAAAAAGGTTTTTTTCTTTCTCTTGTGAAGTTATTATTCTGGACATTAAAATTTAAGACTTAATGTACAGTAATAGACAGTAAAATGTAATGTAATGTAGACTTAAATGTAATGTAGTATAATGCAGATTTAATGTAATCTAGCAGAGTTATATGTAATGTAATGTAGGGTTAAATATAATGTAGTGTAATGTAGCATTAAAGATAACAAATGGATAGATAGACAGACAGACAGATAGACAGACAGAGATAGACAGACAGATAGATAGACCGACACATAGATAGATAAGTAGATAGACAGACAGACAGAGAGTCAGATAGAAAGAAAGAAAGAACAAACTATACTGATCCAGAAGTGCAGCGCTATAGTAGCAAGACATATAATTGCATATACACTTAGATAGAAATAAAAACAGACATAAATTAGAGTAAAATATGAGAGAATAGGAATAAAAGTATATATTTTCAGCATATTTACATAAGCATGTAATACTTTGTTGCAATTACATGAGAGCACTAAATGGTATGAGGTAGTTCAAAACACAGTGTTTATAGACACAACTAGGAGTAGCAGCAGTATTTACAGTCTACAGTGTGTAGTAAAAGTGTCATTACAGTAACAAATTATGATGTATTGCATGGTGTGTATTAACAAGAGAGGTGATATAGTGATGTGGTTCAGCACAGTTCAGACAGCAGGAGATCAGTACCGTCTCTGCAGTAAGGAGACTTGTTGTAGAGCCATATAGCAGTGGGTAAGAAAGGTCTCACATGGTGCTCCTTAACACAGTGTAGCTGTAACAGTCTGCCACTGAATAGCTTCTCTGTTTTTCCAGTGTACTATCACTGTAGCTGTGTCATCAGAGAGTTTTAGCAGATGACTCTGTGTTGTACCTGAGGTCAGAGGTGAACAGGTTGAACAGGAATGGGGCTAATATACTCCCCTGGGGTGCCCCAACACTGCACACATCCTTGTCTGAGAAACAGCCCTGCATTCACACATACTGAGGTCATCCAGTGAGACAGTCCACTGTTCATGAGGCGATAGATAATTTTTACGTTTCCCTGAACTTAAAGGGCTGCATTTTCCTGGTGTTTTGTCCTGCACTCATATATGATGTTTGTGTGGTTTTATGTAACAAAAAACAGCTGCAGTTCATTTTCACATGACCATTTTCTAAACTCGCTTTATCCCTGTGAATTAAACATGCTATTTTTGTTACCATGCCTTTATGACTGTTATATGTAAATTGGCTCTGTTCCGATTGTGCCTCATTCAGAAAGCAGTTTAGGCAAATCACCAAATTGTGCAAGAATCTTTCTCTCCAGGACTGGAATTCCCCACTCCTATTCTAAGAAATAAGGAAGGGATGGGTAGTGGTCATAAAAAAATAATTGTGACTCTTTTAGGTACATAAACCTACACAAATATTCACACAAAAAAGTGGACTTGGAAAATGCAGGATGTGAGCCTTTTAAGGAAAGCCTGGCCACTTCCTATTCCTCCCATTTTCCAAAAACTGGTTGTATAACACCAGAGGGAGAGCCCAAGAGCGAGTCATCAATGAATGTGGGCAAAGACTGTATCTGGATGATTCTACCCAGTTGGCTAAAAGTCCAAACTGAAAACATATTTTCGACTTTTAACTGACTTTAGACTAAAATCCTTTTGCTTTGAGTGACGCTTTATCTTAATTATGTTTGATCTATTAAAACAAAAGAGTGAACATTCCATTTTGTCTCTACCAAAACAATAATTACACCTCTGAAACTTTATCAAATCATTTGCTAGTGACAATTTTAGCTAATTTTGAGCATAACTCAAAACCACTGTCTAGCACGAGACTAACAAACACAACTTTGAACAGCTGTACACAATTGCAGAAAGTAAGTGTTTCGGTAGTGACCATTCTTAATGTTACACACTGATTTTCAGAATTTGGGACACATTTCCTTCAAAACAATGAGATCTAACTGCTCACCATGTGGGCATGAGGGACAAGGATGCAGTCTCACTTCCTGCTCTAAAATGCAGAGGTGTGGCTAAAATAAGGCTCTGCCTATGAACTAACAGTTGTTGTGTTTCAGTAGTGACATGAAAATCTGAGAAGCATTTTTATTTAAAACTTTAATTCGTGATCAATCTACAACTTTCAACTTCAAGAAATCAAAAAGATATTGAAAAACATTGTAAAAATAAAAAAGTAAGTATTTTCAAACTTAGGGTTTGGGACAGGCGCTTCCCAATAGAAAGTATTCTATAAATGGTGCTTTTGTATATATTTATATACGTAGCTTATTACTATCTCTATTAATGCCTTGAGTTTAAATAAATCATAACATAAACCTTTAATCTCAGATCTGAATACTTTTTAATTTTTTTAACTAATTCAGTAAAATGGTCCATATCATGTCTGAATGAGAGGATTTCAGAATAAAAACTTTCATCCAATCAATAAAAACTTACCAGCGTTTTTATGTTTTTCTACAGTAAACAGGATTTGGGCAGTAGGACGCTAACAGTACAAAGACTAATTGCTGATTGGTTGCTGAGCTGATTGCCTCTGATTAGCACTCACTGCCATCATGAATGTACATAAGGCAATGCTACAAAGTCTTATAGAAGGAACTGAAACACAGTCAAATGATAGCGGCGTTGAAATATTGTGCATTTGCGTATCTATAAAGGATTAATCATTCACAAATTGCCACACAAAAGCTCCACAGGAGCTCCTTTTAGAGTCTTACCAATCCAGAAGACATTTGTGAGGGCAGTTCTCCTCAGCTGGATTAGAATGCTAAATGGCACCTGCCAGCATGTCCCTAATTAATTAAACAATTAATTTAACTTTAACTTGTTTTAAAAAATTTAACTACAAGGCAACTTGTTTCAAACCACAAAAGTAATGAAGACGAATTCAAGTACGTGAACAACTTACACTTTAAAACAAGCTCTGCTCCAACAGCTTTGTTTTTCGCCATTTTTGTGGAGCTTTTTTTCCTCCTTTGCATTGTTCGTGTGCAGAGAACTGTGGGTAACTGAAGGCCTGGAAGGATACATCTGATTCCTCCTTGATATCACTTAGAACGTAGGCTACATTTCTAGGCTGTATACAAAGGGTCCTTCACGTTGGAACGGCATGCTAATGACATAGCGGCTGAGAAATGCAGCCTACCTTGGCAGCTATTGCAGCTATTGAGTGGCAGTTAAGTGTGACAAATTCTTTCATAGTGCTGACTTCCCCCTGCAGGAGAGTGTGTGAAGTGCAGGAAAGCTGTGCGTGGAATTGGGCAGGCTTGCCGAGCACTGGGTCAGCTGTACCATGATGACTGTTTCACCTGCTGTAACTGCAGTAAGTGCTCAAAACCAGTGAGGAAGCAGAGGTCTACTGTAGTAGGAAGAGCATGTGAACATGAACTGACGCACAGGAAATTGCAAAAACGCTACACCAGGTTAAAAAGTCTTAACCTGGTGTAAATGGCTCAATATTCTTCTGCATCTGACTCATTGTCAGTTTTTGTCAGGACTTGTGGTGTCTCACATCTCTCTCTCTCTCTCTCTCTCTCTTTGTATACAGGTAGGAAACTCAGAGGGAGCCCATTTTATTACATGTCTGAACAAGTCTTCTGTGAGGAGCATTTTTTGGTAAATATTTCTACACCCTCTAAAAAAACATTCCCAGCTCCAGTCCTGCACAACAAAACGTAATGTAGTCCTCTGCCACTTCAGTTGCAAGACAGTGTAGACATTTACAAATACTGCAGTCATGTTATTATTTCATTTAAAGTGTTCAAATCACTTAATGTTTCACAAGTAACACCACAGATACAGTCTTTATATGATATTTTTATATATTTGTGAAAAACAACCATCACAGTTGTTTCACATTACACTGAAACATTTGTGGTCACTGCTGTGACCTGCTGTTTTTCATACACAACATGACTGAAGATCACTTAAAAAAAACAAACAAAACAAACAACAAAAAAAATTACCTTAGTTTTATTGCTTAATTTAGAAACACCCAAGAATACAGTGACCTCAACATTCTGTGGTTCATTCTTACTTTGAGCTCATTTTCATGCCTTCAATGTTGTGAGAAAAGATTTGCTATCAAAACCATAGAATGACCCTTTTTCTGTATTGCACTGATGGTGTCCACCTTTTTCCAGCATTCTAGATTGAAATGCTCTGTTGACGTCTGTGACTCCTGTGGATTCCTAATTACTGACATGGTTGGTCCTGGTGTGTGTGTGTGTTTTTGAGGTGCTTTGTTACATGCTTAATCTTTTTACAACCTTTTTAAAAACCTTTTAAAACCTTTTCTTTTTGGTTACTAGGTTAAAGTTATGGTTAGGGCTAGGTTAAGCATTAGGCTTAGAAAATTCTTTTGAGCTTGAACCCTGTCAAATTACATGTTTTGTTTATTTTCTAAGTGAAAATAAGTTGACACATTCTCTGCAGAGAACACACTTACATATGGTAAAGTTCTATAAATTTTAGTGCACAGTTTCTATTTGTTTACTGAGTTGAACAGATTGGGGAAAGATATGCACAGACCACAGTTTATGTTTACATTTTTCCTCCAAAATGTTTAATTCACCAAATCAACACTAATTGTGTATTAAAGGACCCATTTCCCACATTCTTTGTGTATTTTATTTTTTTGTGTGGTTTTGTGCATTAAAAACAGTCATAAATAATTTTACATGACTCTAACCTTTCTTTAACCCTTAGAATAACATTTTTTTTTACTGTGTCCCTAAGACTAGTACATGTAAAAGAGCTCTGTTCTTATTGGCTGCCCTGTATGGTGCCCCATTCAGAAAGCACTCAGAGCTGAAGCACTGCTTATAACTTTAGTGTGAATGGATGGGGTTGAACTGCTCTAGGCCGAATAGGTGGATCGCGACATCACAAAACAGTGAATTCAAAATGGGCTGTTTTTGCAGACTAGTTTTCTTATATAGACTGGTTAGTGAATGGCACGTTTTGAAACATATCACTTTATTCCGAATAAACAAAGGAAATTCATTCTTCCATGATGTGGGCCCATTAAAATGTACAGAAGTGTGTTCTCTTAGAATGTGTTAACTTATTTTCACTTATTTAACTAATGCATTATGTTATTTTATGTTCTCTCAACATATTTTTACAGTGTAGAATCTGGCAATCTACATTATAGAATTCTAGCGTAGGCGTGTAATGCTACAAGCTGTCAAACCACTGTATACAACATGCTACGCCTAATTGTGCTTCTGGCACCATTTTAACCTCTGGGTGTTTACAAACATTCATTCACATTCACTGAGTCAAAGAAAGAGAGAACGATTTTGATTGATTGTTTTGAAAATCGCAGAGTGATTCCCATAGACCCTTGGGTGAGCTTTAACACTTGATGTTGTACAGGCTGTGCAGGCTGTGGGGAAATCCTTCCACCCTACCTGCTTCCGCTGTGTCGTCTGCAACCAGAGACTGGAGGGGGAGCCTTTCAGTGTCGACACACAAAGCAGGATATACTGTGTAAAAGACTTCCAAAGGTGAGACACTGAGCTGAAGTCATTATAGAAAAGTCTATACACTCGACAGCCATCTTGGCAACGTACCCAGGCAGTTATTTCCACTCATAAGACCAGATTCCTGTCTCTTTGAGTGGGCAGAAATCTATGAATTCAAAGCTAAAAGCCAAATTATCGTTTGAAAAGCATGTTTGAAATCATTGTTAATATCTGACCAAATTCATATAAATACTTTCTAGCTTTTGGTGCAAATACTGCACAAAAACCTGTTTTTTCCCTTTGTTCTGGCTCCTGCACATTTGCCTGTCTCCAAATCAAGGGGTAGCTTTTCCCACTTGCAGCTTTACCAGCAAGCTGATTGGCTCATTTTATTGAAGGGTAGAACTTTTTTTGCAAACAGATACCATGCTGGTGAGATTTCTCATTCATTTACCAACTAGTGGCCTGTCTCTGTGGAGTTCAAGTTACAGATAAAATAATAAAATCCACAAGCAAAATGTTAAGTATCAAAATGACCAAAATATTTTGCAAATACAAATAATGAGGGTTAAAATAAACTTAATATTTCAAAAATATTATGACTCAGCTTTACTCATTCTGATATAAATGTATTACTCATTTTGCCAGTTTTTGCTTTCATTTTTTTCCATTTGCTGATTTTACCAATATGGTTTTTTGTGTTTTAAATCTTTCTTTTGTGTCTGACTTTTGTTGGTTTTTAACATGGGATGTGTCCTAGAAGAGGGCGTTCACCTGCACACTCTATTGGTCAACTGATTTGGAGGGACAGGTAACCCTTGAGCATGAACTCTCCGCAGCAGAGCAGTTAGCAGTTGTTATGACTGCAGTGTTGTACTGGCATATCTGATGTTATGAGCAATGTGTGTCATATTCTTTTTAAATGATTAATGTAACACATGTTTATGGGTCTCGTGTCGACCTGTGTGAAACGATATAACTGTTATTTTGGGCACTGAACAATGAACTTAGTTTCTATGAATGCACAAGCCACATTTTTTTTTGTTTGCAGCTGCTAGCGCTAACTATAACCTAACAGTGTCCTTTAGGGCTAACTGGGCTAGTCATACTGAAACGGAACTAAATGGCTTAAATATCTAGTAATGCGAAGAGTGATGTGAAGGCAGGGGCATCGGCAGCCTGGGCTTCTGCGGCTACAGCCCCGAATATTCTTTAATCAGCTGAAAACTTTATATCGTTATGAAGAGAGACACAGAGAGAGAGAGAGAGAGATTGCAATGGAGAAGATAAGATACCTGATTACCTGAAATCTCTGTAAAAATGACAAATCTACTCTGCTGTAAAACAACAATGATTTTAAATTATAATTGTAAGTAAACTGGCTGGTTTAAAATTTCAAGTTCACATAACATGTAAGTTAACTGTGTGTGCTACATTCTGTTCACTCATTATTTTAAGTAAAATAGCATTAACATTTTAGAGCAGTCAAGTTACTTAGTTTTTGAAGTTAAAACTACAAATTAGTTTTTTTTTTAATTTACATAAAAATCTGTCATTTGAAAACTAGCCTGATGTTGTACATGAAAAAAAGTTTACCCAATATTTTGTCAGGCTGCAGAGCTCTAACAGCATTTATCAAGACACTAAATCACCTGAATGAAATGATTTGTTTTGGAGTCATTTTTTATATTTAGAATACTGTTTCATTTCAAGAGTTTTACTGAATGACTGTTCAGCTTCTAAAATATATCCAACCTGTAAATAAAATGGTTCTCCTTTTAACAGGAAAGATGTCTAGAGACTGATGTGGAGAGAGAGGAAATGTGCCAACAGTGGTGTTTGATAACGGCATTGTTGAGGAAACATCTGTTTTTGACACATTTTTTCCACTTTCTGTTACAGTGGTTTATTTTGTGTTCATCATCAAAAAAGTAGCAACTGCATATTTTGTAGGTTAATTAAAAACTATTTTTTTGGGGGTTGATGTCGAAAAACAATTCTACAGTGACCTGGGCTGAGAGTCGGACCTTCACAGGCCCAGCCGAAGCTCCTGTTTGAAGCAGCATCATTCTGTAACCTAGTGTGCTAATATAGAAAACCTGTTCAGTGACTGAGGGATTCTGTGGGTAGAAACAAGAAAAGACTGACAGACAACTCCACAATGTAGTGGCCAACCATGACATGCCAATTTCACTTTTGTAGTGATTGAACTTAAACTATCTTATGGCTGCAGTAACACATAGCTGTGTGCCCAGGCCAGTGCTGAGTCATTTCCCTCACCCCACAGCCCTGCAAATTCAACAACACACCTGGTTCAGCCATGAAGGGCTTGATGCTCAGCTAATGAGCTGGATCAGGTGTTTTAGCGCAAGGAACAGTTGAAACCATGTGGAGCTGCAGGTCGCCAGAAGCAGGTTTGAGAAATACTGATTTAAACAGCTGCGAAACTCCTAGTTAGCCCTTAAGCAGACACTGGTAGGCTATTCAGTGCTAGCACCTACAAACTAGAAAGGAGGTACAGCTTTGTTCAACAGTTAAGTTTACTTAAAATACTTTAATTTCCACTGTATATGTATTATACTGGTTGACAATAAATATGACAAACTCTGCATGAAATGCCAGCGCAATCCTCTCTGGCAACACTATGCTGAGTATACTATGTAATCAGAGGTCACCTGTCATTCCAAATCAGTGACAACTAGAGTGTGCAAGTGAACAGCCTCTCTTCTAAGATCCACCCCTGTGAAAATGTACCTAAAGTCAGAAGCAAAAGAAAAAATTCAGAGGCAAAAGAGCGATTCCAGAAGTTTAAATTATCAGCAAAATAGAAAAGCAAATAGAAAAAAATAAAGCAAATACTGGGAAAATTAATAATTTACATCTGAATGAGTAAAAATTAGTAATAATCTTTTTGAAAACATAAAATGTAAAAATAATTTATCTCTTATTATTTGCACTTGCGATCGACTGGTGACCTGTGCAGGGTGTTTCTTGCATTCCGCTCAATGACTGCTGGGATAGGCTCCAGCTCCCCCCCGTGACCCAGAAGGATAAGCGGCTTAGAAAATGTGTGTGTGTGTGTGTGTGTATATTTGTATTTGTAACATATTAGGCCATTATGATACTTAACATTTTGCTTGTGGATTTTATTATTTTATCTGAAACTTTTGGCACAAAAGTATCTCCATATGTATGTCTCCTCCTTTATAGTTTCTTTGACTGAGCTCGCCCACTCATCTACAGCAGGAACATTCTCATCTCACATTGACCTTTTTAAAGTAAATTGAAGGGTTCTGGGAAGAACCTTTAAATTGGTATACAACCTTCGCAACCGTCTAAGCGTTGGCCCTATCATCAGGAGATCGCGAGTTCGATCCCTGGTGATGCTACAGCCATCCGTAGCCGGGAGTCCGAGAGAGCACAATTGGCCTCGCTCTCTCTGGGTGGGTGGGATGGCTGCCCTTTTCCCCCCATCACTCACTCAGCGCGATGCTAGTCAGCGCAGGCGTCTGTTAGCTGACGTAACAGATCTGGCGGTTGACGCTTTCCTCCGAGCGCGTTCAGCTGTCCAGTGACGTTGCGTGAGCGGCAGCTCGAAAAGAAAGCGGTGGCTGGCTTCACAGGTCTCGGAGGAAGCCTGTGTTAGCTTTCACCCTCCTAGCGTTGATAGCATCGTGTGATTGGGGGAGTCCTAACCAGCGGGGTGGAATTGGCTACGACTAAATTGGGGAGAAAATCGGGGTAAAAATTAAAACTTTGGAAGGTTCTTCATAGTCACAGATCTCTTTTTTAACAATTCAAAAAGTTGTTCTTTCTTTCAATGGCTTTGCTCAAAGAACACTTTATGGCACCTTTATTTTTAAGGCAATCACCATCATCTTTATATACGTTTAGGTTCTTCATTCTCTTTCCGTTAACACTTAGTCATCCTAAAGACAGTGACATCAGTGTCAGCAAAAACTGCAAACCTCACTTCCTGTATTGCAGAAGATGTGATCTTGCTGGTTGTCATAATGACGAAGGTGATCAGAAGATTCTGAGTCACTACACTCTAATGACACTGCAGCCTGAGGGGTTCACTGGCAGGTGGCTCTTCAGAAATATGCTGCAGCCCTAGAATTCAGTCTGAACTGTGGATATATTTTAAAAGATTTTTTTTTTCTGAAATAATAAAGGGAAATTCACATTTGGCTGGTCTTTAGTGGCTCAGCAGGAATTATGGTTTACTGTCACCTTCAGAATTCAGAGCAATCCGGGATTATTAAAAAAAAAAAGAAAAACAAGTCCTAGAAATTTTTGTTTGCTCGGTGCCATAGAAGAGTCTCCATTCGTTGAAAGGTTCTTTAGGAAACCATTATGAGTGTGAAGAACCTTTTTTAAAGTTTAAAGCAGCTCAAAATCATGTAAAGGTTCTGGAAAGAACCTTCAAATTGTAATTATACCATGACATTATGTAAATTTTCAAACTATCTTTTTCAAACTTTTTTATGGCACCAATTCTTCTATGCCAGTTCTGGAAGAAAGACTTTTTTTAAATATGTATTTATAGATAAAACAATCATACTAGCTTGTTTAGAATGTGCACAGAAAAATGTCTTAGACACTGACTCACTGTACTACACTAAACTGAAAGCAGCCAGTTCATAAAGAGCTTCAGTATGATCTCTAACTCAAAACACATGAAGCACTTTTAAAACCAAATAGAATCACAGCCTACTTAAAGTTATTTTTTAATTGTCTTTGTTATATTTTACTGTCTTTTGGTTATCTATTTACTTTAAATTTAACTTTTTTGTTTATCTCTTTACTTACTAACTAACTTTATTTGCCATTTTATTTTTTTCTCTCTTTGTCTATTATTCTTTGCCCTTATGTCTTTTACGTTTTTTTGTATTTTGTTTTTTAATTATTTTATTATTGTTCATCCTCCCTCAGGTCTCTTGCTCCAAGCTGTGAAGCCTGTGGGCTGCTTATCCTGCCCTCTGAGGTATTTTACCCTGAATGTTCGTCTGTAGTTTTCTCCCTGTGCCCCAAACATCGCTCCCAGTACACACCCAATAACTCATGCTGTATTTATCTGTGTTTGTTTGTGCAGGGTTCTGTGGAGACCATACAAGTGGTGTCCATGGATCGAAACTACCATGTGGAATGCTTTCCATGCAACTTTGGAGAGCGTTCTATTAAAAACACTTGACTTTTAGGTCAGGTTTATTTAGAGAGATTTAGTGAAAAAGAACATATGAAACATCATAAGCCACTCAAAGAAGGCATCTCTGGCTCTCTGTGCTGCTACTATGTTGTCTGTAGTCTGCTAAATACTGTACATGGAAATGTAGTTGCTACTTATAGTATCAACTGTTCCATTGTTTTGCTGTGGTCATAAACTTATACTAATGTTTTCTGTTTGTGGGTGTATTATACTTGCGGTTTTAGTAACTGTTTTCATGCTGTTTTGTATGATCACTGAAGGGTTTGTCATTTTGCCCACATCATTTCACACATTGTTGATAATACGAGAATGGAGTTTTCAGAGTGAAGGAAGACTGTTCTTCAGTTACTTTTATCCTTTTCTTTATAATAAGTAGGCTTACAGGCCTGGTTTCAACTCACATCGGTCATTTAAAGCATCATGTAATATTTTTTGTTGAAACTGAAAGAAGTGGCATTACTGAGTATGGAAGAAAAAGAACACACTAAAATATAGTGGGCGTGAGCCACTGCAAGTTGCCCTGTAAAGCCTGAAATAATTATTTAAAAGGCATCAGGTATCAGCCAGGTTAAGTTGTGTAATGCTAAAAAAACACCTTGTGGTTGATTGGATGAACAGGTGAGTAACATGATTGGGTACAAAAAAGCATCCCAGAAAGGCTGCGTCTTTCAGAAGTAAAGATGAGGAGGGGTTCACCACTTTGAAATCTCTGTATGCAAGGGACAAGTCCTAAAACCAGTATTTGCTGGCTGTGATATTTGGGCCCTCAGGTGGCACTGCATTAAAAACAGACATGATTCTGTAGTGGAAATCACTGCATGGGCTTAGAAACACTTCTAAAAACCACTGTCTGTAAAAAACAGTTTGTCGCTGCATCCACAAATGCAAGTTAAAACTTTAAAATGCAAAGAAGAAACCAAATATAAACAGGATTCAGAAACACCACCGGCTTCTCTGGGCACAAGTTCATTTGAAATAGACTGAGGCGAAGTGGAGAAGTGTCCTGTGGTCTGATAAATCAACATTTGAAATTCTTTTTGGAAATCATGGACACTGTGTCCTCCGGGCTAAAGACCACTCAGCTTGTTATCAGTGCACAGTTTAAATGCCATTATTCATGATGGTGTAAGGGTGCATTAGTGCATAAGGCATGGGTGATGCACATCTGTGAAGGCATCATTAATCGTGAGCGATATATACATGTTTTGGCAGACTACGTCTTTTTCAGGGAAGGCCTGGATTATTTCAGCAAGACATTGCCAAACCACATTCTGCATGTATTACAACAACATTGCTCCATATTAAAAGAGTTAGGGTGCTAAACTGACCCGCCTGCAGTCCGGACCTGTCACATGCTGATAATGTTTGGCGCATTATGAAATGAAAAATATGACAAAGGAGACCCTGAACAGTTGAGCAGCTGAAATCTTATATCAAGCCACAATGGAAAAGCATTTCACTTTCAAAGCTACAGCAATTGGTCTCCTCAGTTCCTAAACGCTTACAGAGTGCTGTTAATAGAAGAGGTGATGAAACACAGTGGTAAACATGCCCCCGTCCCAACTTTTTTGGAACGTGTTGTTGGCATCAAATTAAAAATGGGCACATATTTTTCAAAAAACAGTAAAATTTCTCAGTTTCAACATTTGATATGTTGTCTTTGTAGTATTTTCCTTTAAAAATATGGTTTACATGATTTGCATATTATTGCATCCTATTTTTATTTACAGTGTCCCACCTTTTTTGGAAATTGGGTTGTGAAATAAGAATCTCATTTTCTATTTGTTTAAAGTTTGAGTGGCCTCTCCCCATGTGAAAATGAGAAAATGTATTTGTCTAAAAGGCTAAAACTTGTTTTTTGTGTACATTTATTTGTGTACATTTGATTGTATTGCCTAATGGTGCATATGTGGGCTCCAAACCTTAATAGTAGTTACTGAATAATTTATAGTACTTACTCAATAATGTCTTAAATAAAAAAAAATAGTAAGCCTGCAAGGGTTAATAACATCAGATAATGACAATAACTTGACCATTCTGAGAAAGTCCTGCCTTCCTTAGTTACTGTTGCTATGTCTACCAAACCTTCAGCTAGGCCTTGATAACAACTGTAACACTTGTGCTAACAGACTAAAAAAGTAGTTCAAGGAAAAATGTAGTCACACAGTACGTTTAAAACATTCTTCATTCAGAAATAAACTGGCTTTATAAGATGTTCAGTGCAGACATGCATATTAGACAACTGGCGAAATATCAGTGTCACTAATCTAAAGCAAAAAAAAATGATTCTGAAAACTGTGTTAAGCAAACCAGGGAAATCGTGCAGTCACTAGATGTTAAAGTGGTTGGTTTTCATGTCTAATAATGAGAAGGTTTTAGCGACAGACGCTACCTCTTTAGATGACCTAATGCTAAGGCTAACCACTAGAGCTAGTCAAAGCAACGTTAGATGCTCTGAAGGCGTCTGAATGCATTCATATGTTTTAATCACAGATTAGCACTGTACAGTCCTGTTTAATCTGTCAGCAGCTATGTTAAGAAGAGCTAACTAGCTAGCTAGCTGATTGTAGTATTTTTCCATAGTGCTATTTATGTTACACATCATATTAAAATGATTTTTAACTAATAACCAAGATAAAATTATCATACCGAGCCAGTTAATAGTTGCATGTTAATAGTTGAACTGTGAATGTAGTCTTCCATATAATTTAAAGCAAAACTTTCAGCTTCAGGAATGAAATAAAAACAGCACCAGGCATTATACGCAGTACCTTTTCACCATTTCTTACAATAAGTCTAATAATTTGTGACTAATTTACTGCCATTCTCACTGCAGCTCTGTTTTGAAGAGTCCTGTCAAAGCTTTTCCATCACTTGATGGAGGAAACAACATTTACAGACAATTGTGATTGGCTGAGAGGTGTGTCAGTCATAATTTAGCAAGCGGCCAATTGTGCTAACCTTTAAACTCCTGAATAAAGACCTGTATGAGTTGGATTAGTTTTACCAGAGGAGTGGTATGACTGCTATGCATGGTTTGACTGACTGATTTGAATGTGATAAAGGATTTGTTTAATTTCCCTAAATTACCCCAAATAGCTGTGAGCCTTGTCTTGAATCAGACATTGCAGATTAATACTGGATTAAAATCACAGATCTTGTTGGTAATCACTCATATTTCATCACCTCCCCAAGTAAAACTAATAGAGCTTGATTAGGGCTTAATTCATGCTAGTTACTGACTAAATCTTGAGAATAAATACATAAATAATAAGTCTGGGGTTTAAGGAGTTAATGAAGACTTTGCAAAGGTCTTCGGTATCACCGTCCTACAACTATAGAGATAAAGACATGAGGCAGAACTTTTGTTTTAAAAAAGATTTAACACAAGGAAGTGGATATATTTCAAGGCAACATGAATTGAAAATCATCAGGTTTTTTTCTTCTGAACTGTGATGTATTTCTGAGTGAAATTTAGTTTCAGGGAGGGTCTCTGAGCGAACTAAATGTTTAGCTCGATAATAGGTGGGGATGAGGGGAAGGGGCAGGTGAAACATGATATTATTGGCTACTATTATTTTTCCCTTGCCTTCAGGTGCACAATGGTGTCATCAAAACATGGGAATATGTCTTCAAGGTGGTCAAAAGTCACTATGTTTTGACTGAAGATTGTGGGAAAACAATTCTTTTGAATGCTGTACCATTCAAAAGAATTGTTTTCCCACAATCTTCAGTCAAACCATTGTAACTGTCAAACCATTGTACTGTACCATTCTTTTGAACGGTACAGTACAATAATTTGTTCTTTACCCCTTACATGACCATGGGCCCTCCAGTGGGCCTAAAGTTTTACTACACACTTCTATAACCTAAGAATGGCTCAGCCAGTTTGCATTGAAGTCCCTGTAGTTATTGAATAACAAGCCTTGGTATATAATAAGCCTGGGATTTTAAGGGGTTAATATGACCAGGGACAAAAACTAGCAAGGAAAAAAGGTCAATCTTGATTTAAGGTTGATTTTAATCGTTTACTGTACATTCCAGTTGCCCTAATATGTCACTGCAAACTAGACAACACAGAGTATTCAGCCATTTTAAAGGAGACTCCAAACACAAGCAGTGAAAATGTTGAGTTCAGAATAGGGAAGTTCAGACTGCATAAGGAAGTCATGAGTAACAGTTTAGCACTGCTGAGTCATTGTGTGTCTCGTCTGTGTATGTTTTGTCTTGTGCTGTATTTGATTGAGATGTGATGGGCATTTTGAATGCACCTCTCTCTCCCCCACATTTTGAAATGTCTCCTGATATTTGATACCCTTAAGATTAAAGAATGTGTATATGTACTCTAAGTTGAACTTGTTGAAGTAGTTTATACAGTTACTTTATCCTCTTACAGATCAGGCTTGTGATGATCCTGTAATGATCTTATGGTTTATTACTCAGTAACTACTATAAATGATTCAGCAACCAATGTAAATTATTCAGTTACTGCTGTCAATTATTCCAAAGCTACTTTAAATTATTCATTTATTATTATCAGTTATAAAATTTTCAGCAATATCCTATTCCTACTGCTGTGAATGATTAAATAACGATCAAAACATGTTTAGTATCTACTATAAATATTTTTAAAAACTGCTCTGAATTATGTTTTAGTTTTGTGAATTGGTCAGTAAGCATACAGAATTCTCAGTAACTACTATATATTTTTAAGCAAACTCAGTTATTTCATAGTAGTTACTTAATAACCAATGTAATTTTTTTAATAACTACTATAAATATATCGATAATACTTTGAATTATTATGTATCTACTATAGTACAACAGGTGTTGGTTTTATCTTAAAGACTGATGTCAGTCAGTAAATATGTTATAACTCCCTTCCTGTTATGCTGAGGATGTGGTCCTACTGGTCTTCGTGATGTGGGCGATCAATTTCTGAGTTGTTAAACTGTGAAGACACTGCAGCTTGAGTGAACCGTGCCAGAAGAATGCTGTACACATAGAATGCTGCCTGGACTCTAAGGGAATATATATTTAAGGAGAAAG